TATTGCATCATTGCCGTTCGCAATTTGTCCCTGTAATGGGCCCGGGGTTCACCACCGTCGGAAGGTTCAGGTGTCTGTGTGGTCATAGAGCCTATTGTTCGGTCGACTATCATGCTCACCAGCAATAAAAATAAATAGGTAAAAATTATTGCTTCCACATATCATTGTTGCGGTGTTGTGGTTGGTTGTACGGAGCGGTTCGTACGGCGCACGCAGGGAGGGCTGGCGCCTGTTGCCGTCTCGTCTTCTCCTCGTCATTCGGTGGCATTCCAATTCTCTGGCCGTGTGGAAGAGGGGAGGGGGGAGAAGTACGGAGAGGGCACGTCAGACACCGCGATAAGATCTCTTGGAGGTACAACTCGCACGGACCTTCTACGGCTGCTCTGCTCGGCTGCTACTTGGAAGACGTGATCCCTGAGGAGATCGCTCGCCCTGCTGCTCTATCTACCTGCCGTGCCGGCGCCGCCAGCCCTTGAGGGCCCCCGCCTGCGCTTGTGCGAAGGGTACGGCGAATTGCGCAATGCGTTCCCCTTATTATTGTTATCATTACTCTTACTATCTCATTGTATCGCTGATCAAACGAAACGCTTCGCCGATTGTGCCTCACGAAAGTTACAGCTTTCAATATAATCGCAATAACCCCTCCGTTCTCGCTCATAACGGCCTCAACTTAGCAGTCTCGTTCGCCTGCTGCAGCGGCAAGTGCGTTCTACTGCCCGAAGAAAGTTTCGTTTCTCCCCTTTGACAAACTACTAAAGTGAAGAGCCTTTCTCTCCCTCCATCCATCCGTCCGTCCGTGGCCCCCTCAGCTCCGCCCGCCGCGCCCCCCAGCCACCCCGTCAGAGGAATGGGGCCCTAGTGGCTCCGCAGAGTCCCCATGAGGGCGGCCGGGCCGGGCCGGGCAAGGCGACATGGCGTGGGACCGACACGAGAGGGGCGTGGACCTCGATATGGACCCATTGTGCAGTTTTCTAAGAGAGCCTCCTCGCTGGCCGCCCCAGGATCCTCGCCGGGCTGAAACATGCCGGAGTAACATAGCAGAGGGGTGGCTAAAAAGTCGACCCTCCGCGTGCTCTGGAAATTCTCGACTCCTGGTGTGCACTTGTCCGCAGAGATAAAGCTCTGAAAAAAACAACAACAAAAAAGTATAGTGGTGTTACCAGCAACAGTAAAACGACCGGCTGGTACCGCTGCTGTTGCTCTGTGATGCTCTGCTACCGTCGGGCCACCCTCGCTGGTGGACAACTAGAAAAAAACTGGACTCGCACGACTCACGAGGGGTAAAAAGG